TTACAGTTTTTGGCTATGGTGAGCAAAGCTGCTATGAACACTAGTGTACAGGTCTTTGTGTGGATGTACATTTTCATTTCTCTTTGGTAAATCCCAAAAGTAGAATTGCTGGGTCATATGGTAGATGTATATTTAACTTTTAAGGAACTGCCAGTTGTCCACAGTGGTTCACCATTGTACATTCCCACTAAGAACATATGTGGGTTCCGGTTTCTCCCTATTCTTGTCAAAAAAACCTGTCATCGTTAGTCTTTTAAATTTAGCCATTCTAATGGGTGTGTAGTAGTATCTCATTGTGACTTTAGTTTGCATTCCCCTGATGACTAATGACTTGGAGCATGTTTTCATGTGCTTATTGGCCATTCGTATATCTTCTTTTGTGAAGCGTTTGTTTAAATTTTTATCTTTTTATTAGGCTGTCATTATTATTGGTTATAAGATATCGTTATATATAGTAGATACCAATCAGTCATATTATGTGTGTTAGAAATATTTTCTCTCAGTCTGTGGTGTGTATTTTTATTTTCTTAACAGTGTCTTTCAAATAGCAAATTTTTACATTTTGATCAAGCCCAACTTGTTGAATTTTTTCTCTTACAGTTCTTTGTTTTTGTGTCTCATCTTTGTTCTCTTTGCCTACCACAAAAGTTTCGAAGATTTACTGCTATGTCTTCATCTAGAAGATTTGTAGTTTTAGCTTTTGCATTAAAGTTTATTGTTTACTTCTAGTTAACTTTTACATATGCTATGAAATAAGGGTCAATGTTCATTCTTTCTATACAGTTATGTCTTTCTAACACCATTTGTTAGAATGACTTTTTCCTTCATTGAGTTGCCTTGGCACTTTTGTCAAAAACATCAATTGACCATATAAGTCAATTGTCAAAACATCAATTGACCTTGTAAGTGTGGGTCTACTTTTGGACTCTATTCTATTCCATTGATCTGCATGTCTAGCCTATCCTCCTAGCCTGTCTTTATTATACCTCTGTAGTCAATCTTGAAATAAAGTAGTATAAAACCTCCATCTTTTTATAATTACTTTGAAAATTCTAGAGCCTTTGTATTTCTATGTAAATTTTAGAATTAACCTGTCCATTTCTGCACACAAAAAAAATCCTGCTGAAATTTTGATTGTAAGATTGCTTTGACTCTATAGCTCAGTTTGGTAGAATTGACATCTTAATGATATTGGAGACTTCCAATCTAAGAACCTGGTATATCTCTGCACTTCTTTAGGTCTTTAACTTCTTCCAGCAATATTTTGCCATTTTCACTCTAAAGGTCTTAAACATTGTATTAGCTTCTTAGGGCTACTGTAATAAATTACCACAAACTGGTTGGTTCAAAACACAGAAATTTATTCTCACAGTTCAGGGGCCAAAAGTCCAAAATCGAAGTATTAGCAAGTTGGTTCCTTCTGGATGCTTTCAGGGAGAATCCATTTCATGCCTAGCTTCTGGTGTCTGCCAGCAATCCTTGGCATTCCTTGGCCAGTCTCTCTGCCTCTGTCTTCACTTGGCTTTCTATGTCTTAGTTTCATCTCCTTTTCTGTCCCTTCTAAGGACACTGCCATTGGACTTAGAGACCAGCCTAATCCAGGATGATCTCTTCTTGAGATCTTTACCTTCACTAATCTTAATCTGCCAAGACCTTTTTTCCTAAGAAGTTCATATTTTGAGGTTCCGGGTAGACATATCTTTTGGGAGCCACAATTCTATTCATTATATGCATATTTAAAAAAATACATTCCTATTTTATGTTTTATGATGCTATTATAAATGGATTTTAAATTTTAATTTCCAATGATTTGCTGCTAGCATATAAAAGCATAATTGACTCTTCTGTATTAATCTTGATCTTGTGATTTTACTAAGTGCAGTTGTTAGTTCTGGTCATTGTTACGTAGATCTTTAATAGAATTTTCTACATAAACAAGCATGCTACTTACAAATAGAGGTAATTTTACTTCTTTTTCTATCTAAGCCTTTTATTTTTCTTGCTTTATTACAATGGCTAGGATTTCCAGTGAAATATTGACTGGAAGTCATAAGAGCAGGCATCTTTGCCTTGTTCCCAATCTTAGCAGGAAATAATTTTATAGTTAATCATTAAGGATGATGTTAACAATAGGTTTTTTATAGAATGCCCTTTATCAGATTGAGAAAGTTCCTCTCTATTCCTAATATACTGAGAGATTGTTTTTTAAAAATGATACATATGCGTTGAATTTTATCAAATAATTTTTCTGTATCTATTGAAATAATGATATTCTTTTTTTCTATTTATCCTATTAATTAGGCGAAGTACATTAATTGATTTTTACATATAAAAACAATCTTACATTCCTGGAATAAATTCTAATTGGTACTGATGTATTTTTATATGTTGTTAGATTTATTAAAATTTTGTTAAGGATTTTTGCATCTATGTTCATGAAGGATACTGGTCTGTAATTTCCTTGTAATTTATTTGTCCAGTTTTGATTTAAAAAAATGAATTTGGAAGTGTTCCTTCTTCCTCTATTTTCTGGAAGAATTTTATAAGATTAGTGTTATTTCTTACTTAAATATTTGATAGGAATCACCAATGATACCATTTGGACCTGGAATTTTCTCTGTGGGAAGGTTTAAATAATGCATTTAATTGTTCTAATAGATATAAGGCTATTTAAATTTTCTGTTTCATCTGTGTCAGTTTTAGTAAGTTGTACTTTTCAAGGACTTTGTCCATTTTACCTAAGTTCTGACCTACTTATTTTTATATATCTAGTCTAGATATCTTTTCCTCTTGAAACCTTCCCTGACACCTCCAAGAGAAGTGAAGTCTCATCTTTTTGTGCCACTATTTTATCTAGTACCATCTGTACTTTCCAACTGACTTTGAAGTTGTTTGTCCATTTGTCTCTTCCTATACCAAATTAAGGGCCCTGAAGTTCCATGATTGCATCCTATATACGTTTGAGTTTCTGCCACCTTATATGGTACTTGGCACATAATAGATACCCCCCAACCCAAAATGTTTAAATAATCAAGTTATTCCACTTATCACTGTCTAATTTATAGACAATGGGATGTTTACACAGGGACGTTTCTAACTTCCTCAGTAGATGATGAGCATGTTTTGCAAAAATGGCAAGTAAAATTCGATGTTGACATTCCTTCTATTTCTTATGTTTAGAATAATTTTTAAAACTATTAAATTGGGGGCCAGTCCAGTGGCACAGTGGTTAAGTTTGCATGTTCTGCTTCTCGGCAGCCTGGGATTCGCCGGTTTGGATCCCGGGTGCGGACATGGCACTGCTAGGCAAAAGCCATGCTGTGGTAGGCGTCCCACATATAAAGTAGAGGAAGATGGACATGGATGTTAGCTCAGGGCCAGTCTTCCTCAGCAAAAAAAGAGGAGGATTGGTAGTAGTTAGCTCAGGGCTAATCTTCCTCAAAAAAAAAAAAAAAAAAGCTATTAACTTGAATAGATTTGCTGAATAGTACAGAAAAAAAAGTATTCTATGAACTCAGAGAAGAGAGGTTAAGTGGAAATCTGGAAAACATGTATCAACAAAGGGAGAGGAATAAGGGAAATAACTATATTGAGTACTTACTGTGTGCCAGCATCATGATAAACAATTTATATTCCTTATCTCACTTAACCTTAAAATAGTTAGGCATGAAAGATATTATTATCCCATTTTACAGATCAGGAATCTGAAGCTCAGAAAAGTTAATTACTTTGCCCAAGTCCACAGAGTTATTAAGCAACAGATTTAAGTGTGAAGGATCCCATTATCCATGTTCCTTGTTTCAATCATACTTTTGCCCATTCAGTTTTCTATAAGGCTCCTGATGAATTTTCCTTTATTTACCTTTAAACTTTGCTACAGTAGAATATTCTGTAGTCCTCCTAATTGAGTGTTGGAATAACTGTAAATTTAGGAAAAGTCCAAAGTATTCCCTGAAAACTTGTTCTGCCTATTGCATAAAATATACAGAAATCACATAGAGGATCCAAAACAGACTTATCTCAAAGTATGCTGCAGAACTCCCTGTGTCTTCTCACTAGTCTTCATCGACCTTTACTCTACAACCCTAGCATTATTTAGATGATAGCAGATGCTACCATTCTGAATGTGGATAATTGGGGGTATCATTGGGTCCTGAGTTCCCACTCAAATGGCATAAAGGAAATTAAGAGGCCAAGGCCACAATAACCCAAGCAATCTCCATGGCTTGGTGTGAAAGGAGAGGATCTTTCCTTATAGATGATCTTACCTTTTTGTGTGTTTCGTATTGGTCCTTTTTAGAAAGGTCTGTGGGCTAATTTGTGCAAGGCACATTCTTTCTCCCTATGCCTTGATACAAGATAGGTGAAACACCAGATCAATCATATAGCTTCTCTGATGCTGCTAAGTAAGATGTTTCTTCGTTAGGTCTCCTTTTTCTCTCAACACAATAGTACTCTGTAAATCCCCTAATCTGGGTTGCCTATGATAACCAGGCTTTTCCCAGTTAAAAATGTGTTTAACGCACCATTTTACCAATACATCTTAGCCAAAGAACCCGGAAGGTAAGGCAAGTTTTCTATGATTCTAGTCTATTAATTGAAATGAGATGTTTCTGAGGTCTTCTCAATGTGAAAAACAAAAATTACTAGCACTTGTTTATTTGCGTACAATACTGTGGTCAGGAACTTGCTACTTCTTCAGGGAAATTATTTGTAACACATCATTGAGAAGACAACTTAACAATTCACACTGATCATTCCCTGTGGTCTGCCATGGTGAGGGTGATACGTTCCTGTATTAGAAGCACCAGAAGAAGGAACTCAACCCTCTCCCTTGAAATTCTAGTCTCGGTTGGAATGACTCCCTAAGGCATCCACGGCTACTAGATTCTTGCTGACCAAGAAATGAAACAGGTCCTATCAAGGCTGTTCACATTAGGGGAAAAAATCTAAAAGGCATCCTTGACAAAAATCAACATGGGGATCTTTCTCACTTTTAGGTAGGAGATACAGCTTTTTTGTGGTCTGAGCATCAAACTTGAGAGGAGGACATTGCTGAGACTTAACATTAATTAATAATGTTTATTCATGTAAACCTGCATCAAATGGTATTCTACATGGAGGTAAGACAGAAGAGGATGGAATTAAATACGTGACCTTTTGTAAGCTATTTTCAGTTAAGGATTTTTGAGTAGCCACTTGAAATCATGAATAGTAGGATTGGGAAGAACAGGGCGGAATAGAACCACTTTTTTCTTTCTACCTAACACTGTACTTAGGCAAAGCATAGTCCATATAAGAACTGCCTTATAAAAACCAGCTGAATGAATGGAGTGAATGAATGGATGGATGGATGTTAGAGTCTGAACTTTTCTACATAGTTTCAAATGTGGTGAATTTGTTGTGTTCCATCCGGGTATTGTTGGAGGCCAGGAAAGACCTTTCTATTCGATTCTAGAAGCTGAGAGTGTCCTCTGCACCACTTGGATAGGACAAGCTTCTGGTAGTTCCATTTATCCAGAGGCAGAAGGCACTCTCTTGCCTGCACCTGGAGCATTGTGGCCAGATTCAATAAAGAGCCTATACTGCCTAAGGAAACGGTGTTTCCTCTTACAAGGTAAAATCTTGGCTCCTCTGCCATGAGGGGTCTGTTCTTGGAAATGTACTCTAGAGCTTTCCTATCTAACCAGGATAGGAATTGCATTGCTACATAATTCCCCTGCTGAGGCCCTACGAAAGGAATGAGTTGGGACAGATACAGCAAGATATTAGGACAAATTTTCCCCATTCTTCATGTTGTACAACACAGAAGTGAACTTTATTTCAACAAGATGACCCAATTCTTAGCATGCTTTTCTACCCACTTTACCCATAGTGCTTCCAAATCACTGTCTTTGATTCAAATTGTGCAGAGAAACAAGAAAATGAAAAGAAGATAAGCTGGCTAGTGCAAAGTAAAATGGCATTTAATTAAAACTAACTTTGCAAATTCATGGGGGAAAAAACTAGATGTTTTGCCCCCCCCCAAAAAAAGCCCTGTGATTAACCTTCAGGGCAGCATAGCATATCACTGACCGTTTGTTGTTTTGAGTGTATTTCATTTATACATTGGAAGTAGATATTTTTCATATTGTTAATAATCACTCTACTAAGTTGTACACTCAGCATCGTGCATCATTTTAACCTTGTTTAGTCACAAGGCTTTCATTTTCTTTCTCTACTTTTCTTAAGCTTGTTTCTGAGTGGTGGTTCATTCACACAAGCTTTCAATTTTAAATAACACAATCCATTATTTCACTAGGTGTCTTTATTTGCTTAAAGTGAAGAATCAGATTGTGATTGTGTTGTAAATAAGTCAATCCTTTCCTTCCCTTTACAGGAAAAGCTGTGGATGCTAAAAAAAGAGAACTGAAAACTAGTCTTTCATGAACTCAGTTATTGGAGTAAGTAGAGCTAAAACTGTGGGGGTGGCGGGGGGAGAAGAAAATGAAAAAGGCATTTTTAGAGCTTTTAATTTAAGCCACTCCAGTGTCCCTGTTCTCTGCTTCTTTCCACTACCCCTGCCCCACAGTCAGAACCCAGGGCACCGGGCAGCTCAGAAGCTGAAAGGAGACTAAGAGTGAGGCTCTGGGTTAACTTTCCAGTGATCTTAAAAGGTGGAGGCAGAAAGACTGCTTGGAGAAACTCCTTTTTACCTTTCTAGAACTGCATCAGAGAAACTCCTAAATTGCATCAGTGATCCTGAAACCTTTATAAATAAAGAGTTTCCTGCATTTAGGAAACTTAATCTTGTTGGGATCTTTTGAGGTAGGAAAATGTGATGAGAAATAAACATTCTCTATATTCCTATGTATTGGGTATGCTCCTGGAAACATTGGAGGGACTGTTTGCCAAAAACTCTTGGCAGTTTTCAAAGATGGCTGGCCAAGTCAAAAGAGAATGAGGAGAAGAACAGGTTTATGGAGCTCCGAGTCCAGCATTGTGTGTAAAACCCAGGTTTCAATTTAAAGAAATCTGTTGCATAAAAACCTTGGGAAACATATCATCCTCTCTTTTCTTTACTACATAGATACCTCACACAAGTATCCTGTTCTTCAAAAAAATTTTTTTAGAAAATAAGAAAAATATAAGAAAATCAACATGGTCATAATGAAGCAAATTTTATATTAATTTTATTTACTTTTGCTTTTAAATTTAAGAGTTAAGACAACATTTCAGCAAAGAAATGTGGAGAAGGGTAAAGGGAAATCAATAAAGTCACTCTGTGACTTTTCCCAGGAGGGAGCTGTGTTAATCGAGAATGACT